AGGCTTCTCAGCTTAGGATACAGATATGTTTACTAGTTTTTAAAAAACTATGACTGAGGATCCCTTATCCATTCCTGCTGCCTTTCAAAGGAAAGGTTCCCAACCTGCTGATATTGAGAGATTCAAAGAATTGCAACCAGCTGGTCAAACGCCCATACCTGTAGAGTACTATACTAAAAGAAACAAACTTCTACAGGCTCTAGAATTTTGTTATCCGATCATCCCTTTTTGCTTCAACATGGATATTTCATAGTGTGCATCAGTTAAGTTCCATAACTTTCTCATTAAAAAAAAATACAATCTGAAACTCGCAGATTATAGTATATAATACAGGGATTTTTCAATTAAGAAAGAATTCTCCTCAACTAAGGGAGAATTTCATACTTTCAGGAAGGAGAGACGTAGCCAGCTTTTAACTATTAAGGATTAATTTTAGTCCATGAATATAAAAAACTATTTATTCAAGTTTTTGTATTTAATAACTTTTCATACTTTTTCTTATTTAATTTATAAAAAAAAATTTAAAATAATCTAGATTTAAATTTAAAAAAATGTGTTTTTTGAATTTTGGAAATGAGAGGGGAATGATCATCTTATCAGTGGTAAAAAAGGTGCATGGGGGGGGGAAGAGAACCAACGGTCTAATACCTCATATAACAACCATTAAAATTTTCAACAAATTACAATTTGATTTTTGTATTTAGAATAGAGTATAATATCCATAATAGTTTTAGTCAAACTGTTGATAGGCTTACAAGTTTAATGATTAAATTTAAAAAATTCAAGACAGAGAACTTAAATCATGTGTTATATGAAAAGAGATGTTCAAAATTGCAATGCAAAATGGTGGAAAAATTACTGTATCATAAATTATTGCTAGATGGAAACTTTTGCATTATTCAGTGTAGAACAAAAAAATTTATTATCTAAGATACAACTTTCAGACATATTAAACAAGATATACTAAGTGGACTTTTTTCAGTGGAAATCTTGCACATAAAACTTGCTACAATATTGCACTGTCTATATTTAGAAAACAATTAATGCAGAAAGTAAATTACAGCAAATATGAACATCTGTATGATAAAGCCATTCTACATATAACTGACAACATTTTACATTTTTTTTTTTTTTTTAATCTTTCCTCTAAGAACTTTCATGAATTTAAAATGTCGAAATAAAATGATTATTATTATTAATTGAAATTTCATGCATTTTCAATAAGATCGTAATATAGATGGAAATATAATTAATTCCTTCCCAAAGAAATTTCAGACTTATAACCACTATTCAATTTATAATGAAAGATTACACAACAAAATAAATTTTAAAAAAATTGAGCACTTATATAAGAGATATACATTTAAAAAAAATCTACCATTTGTAATAATATTACCTTTTGAAGAAAAGTATCTTGCATGCAGTAAGTGCACAATGTGTAATTTTATTTATAAGATCCAAACGCACAATATTGATTCCTTTTTAATGATATTTTTCATTAATTAAAGATATGCAAAATTTGATTGGAAGAATGAGATTTATATACTACTTCAACAGTCAAAATTTTAACTTTCATTTCTTTTGGCATAAATATTAAATATTTTTCCCTTAAAAAATATATAAAATACATGTTCATTTTTCTTTATAAATATATTTTATATTCTATAATACATATATGTAACAACTAATTACACAATATTAGCATAGTTTTTTTTTTTTTTTTTTTTTTTTTTACTTCTACAAATAACATACATTCAACAATAAACTACACTTAACTGTATAAGTTTTTTCATATATTAATAATCAAATTTACAAATTGCAACTTATTTCTACTAAAATATAATTTTGTACATAAAATTTCAAATAAAAATCACAGTTTAATTCCAACTTACATACAATAATAAATTTTATCACTTAGTTCACAAAACAGTTATTTTTACTGTAAAAATAAAATTACTGACAGCATTACATTTAATAATAATAATAATGACACACCAAGAGGGGGGGAAAAAGCTGCCAAAGAGCAATAAGTTTTCAACAATGCAGATATTGTAATAATTCATTACATTTTGCAATATATTATATTAGATTTTCTTAAAAGATTTTTCTCTCTCTGAAATATAGGGTATTCTATAACCAAACTACATAGTCTGATGTTAGTATAGATATACACCACAAATCTGAAATTCATCTGCTCAATGCATTTTCTGGTACAGTGATATAATTAGATATTTTCAGATGCCTTGAGACAAACTAACGAATACATATATTGATTAATAATGGTAAAGCATGTTCACAAGCAAACATCTCACTGGTTATAACATCTTGGATGACTTTTCAATGGAAGTATGGAAAGGATGTGTTTATTTATTTATTTAGTTTATTTATTTATTTTATTTATTTAACAGAATGACTGAAAGCAATACAATAAAGTTATATTCTTAAGTGAAGGATTTTATATGATAATAAAATCACTTTCAAATTTTAACAGGGTTCATAGCCACATTTTAGGTAAAAAAATAAGCACCTTTCAAGCACATTTTAAGAAAAAAAAAATAAGCACCTGTCTAATGATATTATACACAACTGCATGACCTTAAAAATTAGACTCGTAATTTAAAATATGAGAAATGCAGTATTTATTAAGAGAGAATAAGCATTATTTCAACCATGGAAAATAATTACTTTTTTAAATTTTAAATAACAGTTCAATTTACAGAACTGGTTTACAAAGAGAGAAAAAAAAACTATGCAGAACTAAACTATATTACAAGATTTAATGATGAAATTTCAGTTCAATATAGAGAAAATAAATAATAATAAAACATATTTATTGTATTCTCTTGGAACCTAATAATAAATACAATTTATTTTTCCACTCATATTGATATTTAAATAATTTAAATCTAAATTCTGAACATTTTCTAAATTTTCATTGTATATCAGTTTTTCCTTAACAGATATTGCAATCAAAGTAATTTAAGTAAAAAAGAGGAACATTTCCGAAATCAGAAGACAGAAATTTGCTTCATGCAGTCATCCTTTAACAGTAAAAGCTTAACTAACTCGCATACTTGGAAACTGGGGAATATTCGGACAGTCGAGCGTAACTTGAAAAAGAGAAGCTGAGGGGAGGGGGGTAGACTGTAGCTGCTCTTTAGATTTTTCCGCTAAATATATGCTTTTGACATTTCAATATGTGCATCATATAAAAATAAACCAATGGAACTGAAAAATATTCTGTTCAACAAGCACAGTAAAACTCTTTTAAGTGTTCATAAACAAATCTCAGACAGAACATCAAAATTAATTATCTCTGCAAAATATCGCAAACGTTATTGTGCAATACGTGTGCCGTAATTCTTCCCTATGTGATATTACGCAATCAGAATCATCAGCTGCCAGTATTGGGAGAATACAGAAGCAAATAACTGGGGTGTTTTTCATTCTAATTTTCAACAGACGGCGTTAAATTTTTGGAACAGAATCATTCTTCACTTGGGTTGGTAGACCGCAGAATTTTAGTCCTATTCAATTCAGATTGGAAAGTGACAAAAAAAAAAAAAAAAAAAAAAAAAAAAAAGAAAGAAAGAAAGAAAAAAAGAAAAAGAAAAAGAAAAAGAAAGAAAAAAGTCAGTCGCTTATTTTGCAGCGAACTGTAAACAGTTTCAATATTCGAGATTTTGCGGAGAAGGGGAGAACCTCCCAACCTCCGTACTGTATAATGTATTGGGATTAAAAAAAAATGAAATATATTTGACTATTCGATTACTTTCCTATTTACTTTAAGCCATTCCGAATATTATTCCTTTAGAAAGATAATCTGTGTTAAAACATGCACCCTTTTTGGAAGTTTATCTACACTTCAGCAGCTTACTGCAACTATGTCATTATAAACATTCATACATACGCTCATAATATAAGGATAACGATCATAATAAACACGAATATGAACTGACGAAGCGGAACGAGAATGCAAATTATTAAGATCTTGATAGAAATTCATAAGTGTGTAGTATTTGGGTGGGAGGAAAAGAATGCCGAATGTACCTGAATGTTCTACTGCTTTCGCACACCTGTCTGTACTCTTCGTGCACACCAAAGGTTATATTAATGCAGAGAAAGGGGGAAAAGCTATTTTCGGGAGTATGATTCACCATTTGACATTCCATATTAAGAAGAAAAGTTATTTAGTTTCGGCTTTGGTATGGGGGAAAATAGTGCATTCATTAAAAAAAAAGCACTAAAAGCAAAAAATAAGCACTAAAAACAAAAAATAAGGGCTTTAGAGATAAAGTAAGCACCTATAATGGCCTTTATATTTTATTTTCGAATATAAGGACTTATAAGCACTTATAAGGACCGCTACGAACCCTGTTTAAATAATAATAAATTATTACAGTATACATCAAAACAATATTACAGCAAAATGTTAAATCTTAGAAATCTTTTTTGGGGCACAGATAACACAAAGAAAGATCATAATACAATGGACTACAAAATATAGTTATTTGACTTTGATTATCACTTTAAATGAGATTTTATTTCAAGTATATGAGAGATATAAGTATTAAAACAGTATTATTAAATAATGACAAAAGTTTACAGCAAATTTATTTTTTAAGGTTCAATAAATGATTCAATTATAATCAAATACTTAAATCAACATTTATAACTCTTTTATCCGTAGTTTACCTACTTTAAAATTTATTATTTTTTCAGGTCTAGATTTTAAAAAAATAATTAAATAGCTACAGAACTTTAAAAAAAAAATGCTCTTTATTTTCATTCATATTTTATACTTAGTGAACGAAGAAAATGTGAAGTCTCTGGTTCACAATACATCAGATTATTAGAAATACAAATGTAAATTATTACATTAACTATTAGAAATTTAAATTTAGATCACAGATTTAATAACTATTTTCTTTAAAAAAATATCACATTTAACTGAATTTAAATATATAAAAATTATCAGTATAGAATATTGAGATGTAAAACATAAATAAGAATTTAAAAAATAAAAATATATTAACTTAAAAGGAATAGACTGATAGTAGATTCATTCCAAAATAAAAATTAAATATTAAGATCTATATAAGCAACAAAATATTGCAGGTAAAACAGAAAATATTAACAATATTAATAACAGGATCCTTTTTTCTTTTTAGAGTGTAGCAATATATAAATATTCTACTCTTAAAGCTATATTCTACAGAACAAATTGTTCCCTTTTAAAGTGGAAAAAATATGTCTTTACTTCTTCAAATTATTAAGTTGCTTCGGCAACTGTTAGCTGGAAGAAAGGGGGGGAGAAAGAAAACTTTAGCACACAGAATCACACTATTAGATTTCTCACACACATTACATTTATTACATACATATAATGCATTTAAGTTTAATGTCTTCCAAAAAAAAAACTTTAATTCTAATGATAAATAAATTACACAACTCTAGATCATTCTTGTAAAATTTACTGCTCATTCAGGTTCATTTTTATTAAGCTGGCCTAAAAGTTTATTTTCTTTCATTAATAAGTACATTGTGCATGATTTTATATTTTATTGCTGAGTTTATATATAATACATTCTGCTCTATTACCTTCTTTCTAATCCCTGGATGCTACATAATACCATCTTTTGAAAGCACTTGTTATTTGCCTGTAAAATACTCCAAGAGCATTTTTATTTCATTTATTGAACTAAACCTTTTATTGAGAATATAAATTTTTTAATGTAAGAAATGGATAATAATCAACACAGGGCAACAACTAGAGAAAATCGATAATAAGATACAACATCCCAATTAAATGTTAATAATTTGGTTTTAATGCATTAGACTTTTCAAAACTGGTTAAATATACTTGGAAGCTTGGCATTACCGGACTCATATAATGACTTATCCATTTGCTGGTCATTTTTTGTTGATTGCTTCTTTCAGTTTGCTTATTTGGGAACAGCTTTCCATTGAATTGGTCATTTCACTGTATGAAAGTAGGCCTTAATAAACAACACCCTTCCAATTCCATTAAAACTTTTTTCTGGTAGAGACCAGGATTGGTACCATTAACCCTTTCACAACAGCTCACCTTTGTTTAAGACGCTCAAGTGAGACAAAAGAGAATCCAAGGCAGTCACTGCACAGGAAGGGGGTTTTGCATCGCTAAGCCCAATTTTATTTTAAAAAAATCAGAAAAAAAAAGTTTCACTTCTAGCATTGTAATTTGTGGTACAATTTTGTAATTTTTAGTAATTAGATTATTACTTGAACTCTTATATATGTTAAAATTAGCATTTAATAACCTTTTTTACTTTATTTTACATGAAAATATATTTAAAAACTGCTTATCTTTTAAAATAATTTGTAGAAGTGCTATTCAATTTATTCCAAAGTTTTAATTGATAAAACTCATCAATAAAGTTTAAAAATTAATAAAACAGCGCAATAAAAACTATTTACAGTAAGATATAACAAAATTTAAACAGAAGACTGTGGTAAATCTCAAAGCACGGAGAAATATTACTTTCTAACTCTTTAGAAAATTAATCATCACTCTCATCCATCTCATCTGTTAGTTAAATGGTTCATTAACCATATAAGTGTATTCTTCCTCTGATAAATAGCACCTTCGTGCCATTATAAACTGGAAGTGAGACTTTCCAAAGTAAAAAGGGAAGGACCCGAAATATATCTGAAGGCAATGCAAAATGTAACAGAGATCCACACAGTAACCATAAAAGACAGCACACAGTAGAGAAAAAATAAAATAAAAAAAGGAATTGGATATAAATCAGACATGCAAATGTTTATATTATCACATGGTGATTTAAAGAGCCCACCTCTGTTTATGCTTTCCCCTCACAACAGTTGACAAGTCAGGCAGAATATATACAAACTCAAGGTCAGGAACCCAAAACTGTGTTCATTTCAAAAGTAATGGACATAGGGTGCCATCTAGGTCTTCAAAAAAATGTTCCAGCTTAAAAATGCATATACGCATTGCACACCCCCTGAATTCAATCTCTACTGATGCGTGGATGGGACGCCCAGCTGTAAGAGATGTTCTTAGGGAATGTGTATATGGGATGCCTGCCAGGAAAGGATTAAAGGTTTATCATGGCTGGTTTATCATGATTAAGATTTAACATGGATGGACAAAGAACACGTACAATTAACATTCTCATACAGGATCCAAATTTCATCTCCAGTAATTAATCTCTTTAAAAATGGTTCTCTCTTGTTTTATTGAGAAAGCACACCACATGGGTATCTCTTGCCAACTGATGCAGAACTTGTATTTCCTAGCGAATGACACAGCCAAGTTTTATGACATGATTGCATACTATTATCAGGGGAAAGTTCAAAGGTTGTTGATTCATGAATACTATATTATGGATTTTCATCAACTATAGTCTTTATGAAATATACATCTGCAGTGGATAAGCCATGCCATGGTCTCATTCTACTGTAGAATCTCTTAAACCAAATACAGACTGACTGTGAACTTGTGGCATGATTTCATTAACAGTAAAAATCTAGTTTACAATATCATTAACATTGTTGCCTTTTTAAAACAATGCAACATTTCATATTTTAAATACATCCTCTGATCGTTAAAGGCATGCATAATTCTTCAATGCAAACAAAATATATTCTACGATAGCTAGATATCAATTGAAATGGACAACGAAAATTTTTTGCATGGTTTCTACAGTGTGCTACAGTATATAAATTTTTAAATAAACAATAAAAAATACAATCATTGATTGATTTAAAGTAATATTTAGTAAAGTATGTTACAACACAAAAGCTTTTTGATGATTCATGCCAATTAAGATGAGCATTGTATCCTCAGCTATTAAAAAGTTTTGAAAACAGTTTTGAATTGCAAACAGTCATCTTTGTTGCATGTATATTATCATTAACTGATCTAAAAGATAAAAATATACATACACAGCCAAAACATTATGATCACCTACTCAATAATGTATAATACAATCTTTGGTCTGCAAAACAGCTGCAACTCGCTTTGGCATAGATGCCACAAGTTCTTGATAGATAGATGACTGGAGACAGGTTGTCTAAGCAGTCACGCAAAGTTGAGATATTGCAACATGGTGGTATTTGAGCTCTCAGCTGCTGCTCCATGACATCCCAAATGAGTTCTATCGGATTAAGATCCAGTGAGTTAGCTGATAAGGACATTAATTGGAATTTGTCCTCATGCACCTCGAACCACTGCAACACAATTCAAGTCTAGAGACATGGGGCGCTGTCCTGCTGGAAGATTCCGTTTCCAGTTAGGAAGACAGATGGCATATAAAGGATGCAGCTGATTCACAATTATATTCGAATAGTCCACAGTTTTCATGGTCTGTTCTACAACAACTAAGGGTCCCACAGCTGGGCATCTCTCAAAGAACATCTCCCAAAGCATAATAACACCACTATCAGCCTGTGTATGATCTGTTTGGGGGGGAGTAAAAGTTCGTTTGGAAGATGGCATACACCAACACAACCATCAACTTGATGAATGAGAAATTGTGATTCATCTGACCATGCAACCGTCTTCCACTTATTCATGGTCCAGTCTGATGTTTCTGGGCCCACTGTCAACAATGATTGGTCAACAGAGGCACATGTCTACTGTGCAGTCCTGTATCCAACAGTACCTGCTGAACCGTGCTTTCCAAAACAGTTGTACTAGTACCTCTAGGCTGTCAGCTGAGCCACTGTCTGACACTGATTTTGCTGTACCAAGTGGGACAGTCTCCGATGTCCTTTTTCTTTGATGACACATGGACATCCAACAACTTGGCATCTACTGCTGGTTTCACCGTCATTTATCCACTTTGCATAAATACTAACAATGGCAGATTGTGAGCAATTTACCAGTTGTCCAGTTTTTGGAGATACTTGTTCCGAGTCTTCAGGCCATTACAATCTGTCAGTCTTTCCCATCACTGGCATAAGTTAAGTTCAAGAATGACTCTTTACCTTCGCTAGCACCAGTTACATACCATTCCAACTTAATCATGTGCCCTCCAAGTCATCCAGATTAGTTCATTGAAAAGTGTGGGGATGGTTATAATGTTTTAGCTGATCACTGTTAATGCATCATGATCATCGTGGATATGAAAGATAGCTGTTTGATTAGTGGCATAAATTTCTAAACATGCACTGCCATTGAAATTGATTAAATAGTAATAAGATGCAATATGGAGATAATTTTCTAGATTGATATCACCACTTAAAATGATCAAAGAGAAACAAGCCATAACAACTTTCAAAACGTCAAATAATATACCCCCAGCAGAAAATTCTTTTAAATGTTTTACTGAGATGATAACCTAAAATCAAAATGCTTTTTGCTAGTTAGATTCAAGATCTGCTTATAAAAACCAATTTCAGAAATATTTGTTGAATGATTACTCTCACATCTTTATAAAAATTTAAAGGACCTTGCTATTACATATATATAAAATTTACAGCCTCAACATTAAACAAACAAAGTTACAACCTCAACAATGATCTTAAAATCAAAATGTCAAACATGTCAATAAACATCTTGGATAGTACAGTATCAGAATTAAGATTTTAGATTTAAACATTCTTTTTCTAATCCATATAGGTATTCAGAAGTCAAACAACAAAAATCAGCGTTTTATTTTCAAAATTTTTGAGGACTAGTTTTGATGGTTTTACCGAACCACCATCCTTAGCTGCAAAACTGCAAATGAACAAGATAGGAAATAATGACTAGATAAGATAAGAAAGCCTGGACAGGAATAAGTGGCGCCATCTATTAATGAAACCAGAACTAAAACATAATTTCTTTAAAGGCCGAAGGCAAAGACTGATTGAAATTAGGATCGTTAACTAGAGCAGAAAGATTTTTTTTAATGTGAAATGCCTCTAGAAAATCGAATTCTCCAATGGAAGATGTTTTTTGAATAATTTTGGCAGCAGAAAAATTGAAAGTGTGATTTTCGGACCAACAATGTTGAGCAACAGAAGACTTCTGTGTTTCATTTTTTTCTAACATATGCCTCATGTTCCTCGATGCAAAATTTTATATTCCTGTCCAGGCTATCTTATCTTATCTAGTCATTATTTCCTATCTTGTTCATTTGTGGTTTTGCAGCTGAGGATGGTGGTTTGGTAAAACCATCAAAACTAGTCCTGCAAAAATTTTGAAAATATAATGCTGATTTTTGTTGTTTGACTTCTGAATTAGTATTTATTCGGCGTGTTATTGTGTCTTAACATATAGGTATGTAAAAGATTCCAAGACATTTCTATGTGCTAATATTTAAGTTGATGGGGTGAAACACAAATCATGACAGGATTTTACAAAATAAGATGTGTTCAGTTGGCATTGTAAAATGAACACATCTTATTTTGGAATACAATAATTCTTCAGAAATTCATTTTTAAAAGAGTGACACAGTATGAAAGGTGCAATCTGCGAGTCAATTCTTGATCCCATTTCTACGTTTTTGGGTAATCATATCTATGCAATTGATGAAAGAGAAGTAAGCAGCAACATGTAGGCAAAACATTAAGTGACACCAGAAATGTGATGTTCTAAGATAAAAATATGGAGCAGAATAATGTAGTTTCAGTTCAAATTTTCCCCTATACATTAATAATAAGTTTTGTTTCCCAAATTTAAAATCATTATGGGTTGAAATGTTATGTAAGTATCTCCATTATGAGTACTATGCAAGAATCACATTACATGGATTAACTATAAAATGATGCAGTGCTGAGTGATTTATTATAGGCAGTTACCATTTCTATGATTAAAACAGAAAAATAACAAAATTGAGGAACTAATGTATATTCAAGTTATTATTTTACCTTACCTAGTTTTTATCTTACATTTGTAGTGATCAGTGATCCTAAAAGAATTATTAATTCCTAAGTGAACTCTGATTATGCTATGTGAAATGAACTCAGCAATGCTAATGATAGATTTTAAGCTCTGTAGAAATTCTAATAATATCTATCAACAGTCATACAATTAGGCATAATATGCAAGATTCTAAATGAACTGAATTTCATTGAAACTATGAATATATTGTCTCTCAGCCATTCTCTATCTACAAAATAATTTCAGAAGGCAGAGATACTTGTATCATGAATAAAGGTTTAAAAAAAAGTATATTTGCTGGGTTTTTCAGCAATTTGGTTACAAACGTTCAGGAAATATAGACTACACCTAACGATGGAAAATCATATAGCAATGCACGGTTGGAAAAGCCTTCTTGGAACACTAATGACTACACAAAAGGATGGGGATGAACAGGGTGAGAAACTTGCTTATTATGCTCAGTGCAGCTAAAATGTTGGGAATGTAAATTGTTTGCATACATTAACAGCCTTGATGTGTGTTTCCACCAGAATGCAATGTATCCTTAACACTGGATCAGAAGGGTTGGTTTGGTACATTGGCCACCAAGATAGCTATACTTCCCTTGCATTAACTACATTCTCTAGGGCTACATCAAGACACTGGTATATGAAACACCAGTTAACAGTGTTCAGGAACGTTTTGCACGCATCATGGCAGCTGTTGGGAAAGTTCAGGACACGCCAGATATTTTCCAGAACATCAGATCTCTCATGTGCTGGAGATATGAGGCCTGCATCACAGTTCAGAGTTGCTATTTCAATGTTGTAAAATTTAATTTTTTTCTTTGATAACAATTGCTGCCAGTTTTTGTTTTCATTTCTTGGTTTCTGCTGTACTAAGCATAACAAACATGTTTTCTCACCCTGTTCATGTCCTTCATTTCTTCTGCTTTGTGTCGTCACAATCACGCCAGGAAAGCATTTCCAACCATGCACTGCTATGTGATTTTCCATCATTCAGGTGTAGTCTATCTCTCCTGAAAGTTTGTTAGCAAAATGCTGACACACCCTGTATGTTTATGTAATAAAAAAATTACAGAAATACTAATGTAGCAACAGTAAGACACAGAAATGCAGAAAATACTGATGGCGAAGCACATAGATGTCATACTGAGGAGGAAGATTTCTGATTATGTATAATGTTCAACCTTTAATAACTAAGAAACTTGGCAGTTCAGGTGGATTAAATTCCATATTTATTTAAATTGACATTTGTGGCCACAATTCACTTGGCACTCTAATCATGCCTATTTCCAGAACATTTACATTTTTTATACTGTTGCAATAGGAAGAGAGCACAGTGAAATTGTGACCAAACAGCACAGAAGTTGAAGGGAAGTGCGCATTTATCCAATATGGCAGTCTGTTAAAGTTTTGGTTTAGTTAGAAAGGTCTCAGTTCTCAGAGTTTAAGTTCTGAATTAACTACACCATCAGTGTTAAGCAAGCTCTGTGGCATAGATTAATCTAGAAATGGCACAGTCCAGTAATGTTATTATTATTTTTAGAATAGAGAGAAGAAATACTCAAATTAAAAGTGAGGAATTAAGAGACAATTACTAAATTAAATTATAAAGTTGATTTACATATTTTTTATCTTACACACATATGCGCATGTAATAAAAACAAATTTAGTCAACTTTATTATAATAAGATGACTTAGATAAAGCTGCAGCAGGTTGATGGTGGTTCTTTCCATTATAACTTGGACAGACTTTATTGCATAGTTAGAAAGATGAAACTCAATGGAGAGACCTTCTAGACAGACGTGGCTGAATAAATTTTTCCATCTGAGTTTCATTCAAACACAGAAAAACCATCCTACCAACTCAAATGTAATAAAAATAAATTTAGAGGTACTGAAGTAGAAACACTGAGATGTAGAAAAGCAGAAATATCAATAGCGCAGCACAGATAGCATAGAACATAGATTTATATTGAAGAGGAAGAATTCTGATAGCATAGAATGTCGAACCCATAACAACTAGGAAACCTAGTTGCTGAGCAAGACTAAATATTCATGTTTACTTCAATTGACATCTGTGGCCACAATTTTACTAATACTCTAATCAAGCCCATTTCCAAAATATTTACATTTTTACATTTTTTCCCAAAATATTTACATTCCAAAATATTTACATCACTTGGATGCAATGAAATAGCATCCAAGTGGTAACAAAGGTAGAAGTTAAAGTGTGCAATTATCCAATATGGAAGCTCACCAAGAGAAAGTCTTGGTTTAGATTAAAAAGGTTTCAGTTCTTAAACTTTTGAGTTCAAGTTCTGAATTAGCTATATCATCAGCATTACGCAAGCCATGTGACATAGATTAATCTAGAAATGGTGCAGGCCATAAAAGTTGCTACTACTTTTGGAATACAGAGAGGAAATACCCAAATTAAAAATGAGGGATTAAGAGGCTATTGATAAATTAAATTATACAACTGATTTACATATTTTTTCTTACATATTTTCTTACATATACATTCTGTTGACTAAATTAAAATGCGATAATTTCATTGCATGAGGAGAGTGGAGAAGACACCATATAGTTTTCTAATCAGTAATGGCAGCAATGAGAAAAAGGATACAACTTTCAAATTATAGAAGATAGCTCAAAGGTGCTGCATAGTAAATAGCTGGAGGGAAAATCACAACTAGCTTGATGATTAAAGCATCATTTTTATTTTGCAACAGGAACAGTTCTTTAGAGACACTTTTTTTAATTAGAACATCATTAATTAGAACATCACTAGGGTTGTTGTAAGCATTCCAAAAATTTAATATACAGTATTACATGCTAGAAAAGTGGAAGAACGTAGCAAGGAGGAGAGACATCATTTAGTAATCACCTTTGAAAGAAACAGATATTATGCAGTTGGTCACTATTTATATTAGAAGTTTTGCTTTAAAATCTGACTGGTCAAGGAATTGTGTGCAGTGAAGCTGGTTATAGAATTAGTTTCCATATATGACACATTTTCAAATTAAAAAGAAGAATTTAGTGACTATTGCTAATTTAAAGATACAAAATTTTTATTTTACATATATATAAATTGTAAATACAAAAATAATGAAATGAATATTTTCAAATTTTATTAAATAAAAGTTGTTAATAGTACCTTTTAAGAGGAGACAAAGTTTTAACTTCTTTTCCTTCTTTTTCAACATTCGTGTTAGTTGGAGAAGTAGGATTAATCGTAGGCAACCTTTCAGCCGCAGCAGCTCGTGCAGCAAGGAAACGATCAAATTCCTCTGCAAAAATAAAAGCAATGAAGAACTTCTATTAACATAAAAGTATAAAATACATAAGAAATAGATGGATCAAATGTTTCAAAGCAGAACTGAATTATTATTTGACAACTCTGGTACTAACATCTTTCCAATTTTTCACATTTCAGGTATTATAACTGCTCAACTGATAAGATTTTTTTTATTAAATAACAATATTTTTTCCAATAATAAAGTCTTAGGACTCCCAAAGAAAAATTAAGCCATATTTGCCATTTATAAATTGTCACTTTTAGATTTACTGCAGATACTGAGTTACTGATGATCCCTTTGGATCAGAAGAAATTTCAAAGATCATCTCATCTTTTACAACTTCCCTCATTTAACTGATGACGGAATTTGTAAAAACTATACTGTACTCATGACACATTGTTCATAGGGAATAATAAAGCAAATAATTACCTTCTAAAAATAAAATATAAACACATAAAAATATTAAATTCACTTTAAAAAAATCTGTGTACAGCAATAATACAATAAGCAAGCATTATAGTATGTTTTATTACTTAGCATTTTTTAAACTGTTGGTTACAACTCTCAAATGGAGTTGCAAAGCTAAATGTTGGAGTATGGAAAATTTAATTCAAACACATGAATTTAAAAAATAATAATAATCACAATCTTTTTATTTTAAATTGGAGATACTGCACTTTTTGTGCATTGCAATTATAAAATCATAATACTGGTTAAGATGAGTAGTATATTATATTTCCATATAATACGCCCAAGTGAATCATAGTAGCAGTATCAAATTGTAGTTTCAGTGTATAAGTTATCTCAGAACTGGTGCAAACGCACAGCATGCAAGATCTTATGCCATGCGAATATGCCAAGACTAAACTTGGCACTACGGTAACTAATATGGCAATAATGCTTTCCCAATAAAGTCTGTTGTTTTTGTTTCATTGCAACATGTGTGTATATCACAAAAACAATACATTATTGTATTTTATTGCTTTACTTGACTAAAGTTGGTATTTATTTGAATAATTTTTATGGAAAATGCTAATTCATTTATATTTTAAAATAAAATATATTTTACCCACAGATATATAAATGAACTTGAATAACAATGGTAATGACTTACATGGAATGCTATAATGTTTCTTCAAGCAGGATCTGGTAACTAGAAAGTAGCATATAATGTGCAAAAAAGAAAATCTGATAAAACATTTCTCCAACTTAACTTTACTTTCAACAATTGTAATGGCAATGAACAACCTCCTTGTTTAATTTGCAATAGCATTTTGGTTATGGAGAGTATGAAACAATCAAAATTAGAAACGTACCTTAAACCAAAACATTGCTTGAGCATCAATACACCAAAAAAAGTTTCCAAACTGTGAAATCTTCAAATAAAGAAATCAATACTTTTGAGAAATTTATAATTGCTGGCAAAAGATATTTATTAAATTAATTATATAAAGTTTTAAAACTGATTGTTAAAAATTAAAAGCCATATATATCGGAGAAAATCTAGTATTACCTGCTGCTATTAAAATGGTAAATATGATGAATCTGGAAAATTTCTTTGCCAAACTTGACAAAGTCATGAATAAAATTTTAAAAATTAGTAAAGATCAATTTGAGCAGTTTATTACTACATTTTAAAAAAGCCTAAATTTATGGATCAAATGGATAAATTAGCTGACATTTTAGAAATAGCTCAGTTATTACTATACGCCAGATACATTTACAAAGAAAACATTGATGAAGAATAGAATTGATAGACACAAAAGAGCGCAGGGGCCATGTGACAAAAGTCAAATTTTACAGAAGCAACAAAAAACTACCCCACTCCTCACAAGAATGTCAAAAGTCAACAACAAAAAAATTATGAGATTCATATACCTAGGATATATACCTATACAGTCAAAAGTCTTTAATCCGGACTCATCAGGACTTCGGCGATTCAGGATTATCGGTTTTTTCCGGATTACAGATCATCAGTTTAAATCTGGTAAGATGGCATGCAGAAATTATAAAATTAAAAATATGAAACCGTAATTTATGAAATTAAGAGCAATTATGATCTAAAGGGTATTGAAACTTACAAAAAAAAAAAAAAAGCTTTATATTTATTTGTTTACTTTATTAAACATTTCTTTCAATGCGCGCATGTGTAAAGCATACATTACGCATAGTCGAAATTAGAAAATTGCAACCAGAAAACTATTTGATGTGTATTCCTGATATTTATAATGATGAGGAATTTGATTTAAATCATATCAAAGACAGAGTACATCAAGATGAAATACTACATTTAGTAAGGAATTATAAGCCAAATAAAATAAAAACATCTGCCCTGAAAATAAGGATAGTGCTGACAGATCAACTTCCAGTTCATTGTGCGCCACGTCGTCCCTCCCCCACAGAGCAGCGTGAGATTGATAAACATATTTCGGAATGATTAGAGAATCAAAGGATTTGCCTTTATCCATTTTTTGCAGCAATTCCACTTTTTGTTTGATGGATATCAAAACATGCTTTCGCTTTGTAGATCCTTTGGTAGCTCCAGAATCGGAAATTCTTTTTGACATAATCGAAAGTTCAAGCTCACTTTTATAAAATTGCTCTAACAGTCTGCAAAAAATAATAAGCCGGATCCAATTAGAAGATTAAGGAACAACGCAATCTGCAACATTAACTGAAATAGATAATTAGATAATTTTAACTTAGCTTATACCGTCCGTTATACATTAAACATGCATGCGTAAACATATTATGTGCATGCATGGATGCATATGCACATGCGTAAAGGTATTATGCACATGCGTAAGTTCCTAGCTTTGAGGTCCGGATTATAGATCATTCCGGATTGTGGACATCCGGATTAAAGACTTCTGACTGTATCTAATTTAGCATTTTATAAATGATTAAGCAGTTCATGCTCCTCCACACAAAGTTTCAAAAAAGTCTATGCATATCCCCTTTCCACAATTTACAATATTTTTTCTTCCCAGATTGAACACAAAATAGGAAAAACACTCATTATGAAAAATTTGTTTCTGTTTAGAAAAACAAATGCCATGGCAAGATAATAGTTTTAGAAGAACAATGTTATGAAAATTAAGTACAATCTATATATTGTAAAAAAAAAAAAGCAATTAAAAAATACTAGCATTAAAAACTAAATTTTATTTTGTTATATAAAAAGGTCCAAAAGGTTTTATTTTTGTACATTTGAAATTCCTACAACTACAACTTTTCATGTGTACCAGGTTTGCCAAAAAATATATTATTTATGGGAAAATATTTATTTTTATATTTTTATCTTATATTTAATATCTGGCCTCTGGGAAAAAACTCAATGATAAAAAGGGATCATGAATGTAAAATTTTAAGAAGCACTGCTTTAAAAAATATTTTACCAGTTTGATAATAAATTTTTTCAGATTTTTCTAAAATATATCACATGAGGTCATGAGCACAATTTCAGGACGCTATGTATAAATTATTTTTCGAAATTAGAAACCTTTAGCAATGTTTAGCCATCTCTCCATCTTAGATATATAACAATAATACACAAGTCTGATAAGATGCTGGAACCTCTCAGGTATTATAATTTATGTCAACAAACTGCAACTATAAATCTGGTCTGTGTGTAATGAAAACTATATTTCAGTTAAAATTCATAAGTCTTATTTAGAGCAAATAAAGAAGCCAAATTTGTGCTTTAAAAATTCAGGGTTTGTACATATTTCTGCACACGGAAATTAAGTACTTTTGGAAACTGAATAAATTCAATTAAAAATATTATCTATGCTTGAATTTCACATTTGTAATACAGTCAAAAGTCGTTAATTCGGACACCCATAATCCGGAATGATCTATAATCCGGACCTTAAAGCTAAAATCTTTCTGCACATGCGCCACGGTGGCACATGCGCACAGGCGTTTTACGCGTGCACATAAGACCTTGACTACTGCGCATATGCGTGTGCGCAAGTGCAGAATACGTTTTCGCCTGCACGTTTAATGTATAACGAACGGTGTAAACTAAAATTATCTAATTATCTATTTCAGTTAATGTTAATGATTGTGTTGTTCCTTAATCTTCAAATTGGATCCCGCTTATTATTTTTTGCAGACTGTAAGAGCAATTTTATAAAAGTAAACTTGAACTTTCGATTATGTCAAATAGAATTTCCGATGCTGGAACTTCCAAAGGATCTACAAAACGAAAGTATGTTTCGATGTCCAACAAACAAAAAGTGGAATTGCTGCAAAAAATGGATAAAGACATGAAGAATGTGACAGAGAGGTTAGTGAAAACGAAAAAATTTCATTTGGCAAGTTAGTCGGTATTCTCGGAACAGCAATTAACGGGACTTGAACAGCGGAACTTTGTAACTGAACAAGAATTATGTCTGTTTATAGAATTAAAGAGAAAGTATTATCACATAAAACGAAGCAACTTAAACAACTTACATTGAAAGAAATGTTTAATAAAGTAATAAATATTAATATTAAGCTTTTTTTTTTTTTTTTTTTTTTTTTTTTGTAAATTTTGATACCCTTTAGATCATAATTGTTCTTTATTTCATAAATTATGGTTTCATATTTTTAATTTTAGAATTTCTGCATGCCATCTTACGAAATTTAAACTGATGATCTATAATCCGGAAAAATTGATAATCCGGAATCGCCGAAGTCCCGACGAGTCTGGATTAACGACTTTTGACTGTACCATCCTAAAAATAAAATAGATTCCTAAGTAATATGCATTATTACTAAACATGAATTAAAATAATTATTAATAAGTTTAAAAATTAAATTAATTTTATGCAATTTATCAAGTAGCATTAAATATTTTACACTTATAATAGTTGGACATATTTAAAAGAAGATAAGTGACATTTACATTTTACTAACAGTTAGCTTTATGTTGATTTTTTTAATGTATCATTTTGTCACATACTTGGTCAGTCTAGAGGTTTAGTAAATAGCAGGTAGATTTTATG